ACATACATACATACATACATACATACATACATACATACATACATACATACATACATACATACATACATACATACATACATACATACATACATACATACATACATACATACATACATACATACATACATACATACATACATACATACATACATACATACATACATACATACATACATACATACATACATACATACATACATACATACATACATACATACATACATACATACATACATACATACATACATACATACATACATACATACATACATACATACATACATACATACATACATACATACATACATACATACATACATACATTACATACATACATACATACATACATACATACATACATACATACATACATACATACATACATACATACATACATACATACATACATACATACATACATACATACATACATACATACATACATACATACATACATACATACATACATACATACATACATACATACATACATACATTACATACATACACATACATACATACATACATACATACATACATACATACATACATACATACATACATACATACATACATACATACATACATACATACATACATACATACATACATACATACATACATACATACATACATACATACATACATACATACATACATACATACATACATACATACATACATACATACATACATACATACATACATACATACATACATACATACATACATACATACATACATACATACATACATACATACATACATACATACATACATACATACATACATACATACATACATACATACATACATACATACATACATACATACATACATACATACATACATACATACATACATACATACATACATACATACATACATACATACATACATACATACATACATACATACATACATACATACATACATACATACATACATATACATACATACATACATACATACATACATACATACATACATACATACATACATACATACATACATACATACATACATACATACATACATACATACATACATACATACATACATACATACATACATACATACATACATACATACACATACATACATACATACATACATACATACATACATACATACATACATACATACATACATACATACATACATACATACATACATACATACATACATACATACATACATACATACATACATACATACATACATACATACATACATACATACATACATACATACATACATACATACATACATACATACATACATACATACATACATACATACATACATACATACATACATACATACATACATACATACATACATACATACATACATACATACATACATACATACATACATACATACATACATACATACATACATACATACATACATACATACATACATACATACATACATACATACATACATACATACATACATACATACATACATACATACATACATACATACATACATACATACATACATACATACATACATACATACATACATACATACATACATACATACATACATACATACATACATACATACATACATACATACATACATACATACATACATACATACATACATACATACATACATACATACATTACATACATACATACATACATACATACATACATACATACATACATACATACATACATACATACATACATACATACATACATACATACACATACATACATACATACATACATACATACATACATACATACATACATACATACATACATACATACATACATACATACATACATACATACATACATACATACATACATACATACATACATACATACATACATACATACATACATACATACATACATACATACATACATACATACATACATACATACATACATACATACATACATACATACATACATACATACATACATACATACATACATACATACATACATACATACATACATACATACATACATACATACATACATACATACATACATACATACATACATACATACATACATACATACATACATACATACATACATACACATACATACATACATACATACATACATACATACATACATACATACATACATACATACATACATACATACATACATACATACATACATACATACATACATACATACATACATACATACATACATACATACATACATACATACATACATACATACACATACATACATACATACATACATACATACATACATACATACATACATACATACATACATACATACATACATACATACATACATACATACATACATACATACATACATACATACATACATACATACATACATACATACATACATACATACATACATACATACATACATACATACATACATACATACATACATACATACATACATACATACATACATACATACATACATACATACATACATACATACATACATACATACATACATACATACATACATACATACATACATACATACATACATACATACATACATACATACATACATACATACATACATACATACATACATACATACATACATACATACATACATACATACATACATACATACATACATACATACATACATACATACATACATACATACATACATACATACATACATACATACATACATACATACATACATACATACATACATACATACATACATACATACATACATACATACATACATACATACATACATACATACATACATACATACATACATACATTACATACATATATATGTATACATACACACATATAGTACCTTTCATGATCCTGTGCCTCTTCATGAAATACTGTAAAATACAGTGTTCTTGAGCATTACACCTCGCTTTGTTTACCTCCTGGATAAGGGTCAACATGAGCATCGCTTGCATGCAGCAACAAAAAGCTCGCCAAAAGCACTTGAAAGTATATAAGAACTTGAAAGTTGCTTCACTGGATCGCTAAGCACTTGAAAGTATTTTACCACTGGATTGAAGATTCAAGATTGAAGTCTTTCATGGAAGGCTTTTCCGAGAATCTCATGCCCTCGCACTTTGAATGCGCCATTGCGGGAACGTGGAGGGTTGCAAATTAAATGCATGTGACTGCACACCGGTGTGTAGATAGACTTGGTTGCAAAAGTATGTATTTAAAACCTGGAGTATTGGGACAACACTAGATGCTTACAAAAGAAAGGATTCAAGATTCAAGATTCCCCAACAAAAAATATCTGATTCTTGAATCTTGAATCTTGACTCCCACATTTTTGAATGTTGTTCAGACATTTCTAGTGTTGTCCCAATACTCCTAGATGCATGCAGACTCTGTCAGATGGCAGATGTTGACATCATTGCTTACATTACATATGTATGTATATAATGTATATATAATGTATGGCACCCCCCTCCCCCATTTTGCCACAAAACCAACAAGGCTAGAAAGGCACAAAACAGTGGGAACAAAACACAGCTGAAACTCACCAACCCAGGGTCCATTGGGGGGGGGGTAGTACCATATCTATATATCTATATCTATACATATATATATATATATATACATATTTGGGCGGGTCTATTTTGAGGGTACCCTCTTTTTGTGGTTTTAAAGGAAACCACACAGGAAAACAGAAGTCATTTTAGGGCGTCTATGAAAAGACACACCCTCATGAATCGAACCACGGCTGCCGGGTACAACAAAAATAGAGGCTGAGCATCCAGGTCAACAAAAGGTGTTTTTGTCCGGGAAAAAAAAAACACACACACACTTCCGCTTGCATGCTTTGCGCCGGTTTGACCAAAGAAAAGACCAACATGTTTTTATTGCAGAGGCTCAAAGAGAACACGGATAATTCGCATCGAGACTAACATGGGCATCTCTACTCAGGTGGCTTGTTCACACGAGTCTGTTCAGCTCGCATAGGCTCCGCAAATATATATATATATATGTATACATATATATATATATACCCGTTCATGGCACGTCAAAATCCGCGGACACCCTGAAAAACCAGCTAAGTGATCTGAATTGATCTGCAAGGCTGCTGACAGAAACACACACACAAGCCAAGTCAAGCATACACACAGTTGTAGTCGTGATTGCTTTCAGAGCTCGAGAATCCCGCCTTATTTTCTCTCAAACCGGTGTGCATGGCGGCAATGGTGGGCAGCCTTACTATGTGAAAACCAACTGCTTGGGCAAACAGCTTCGATCAGATCTGTATCAGGTTGTCTCAGAATCTGCGATCACGTGACATATGTATCGTGTACCGCTCAGATCGTTCACTGATTCTGAGGCATTTTGAAACCCCTCTGTTTTGTGCGGGCTACCGACAAGGACTCACAAAGGTGAATGATGTGAGATGCGTCTTGCAAAAAGAAGCAATCATTCAGTTGCACAATGACCATGGGTCAATTGGAGTCTTTGTTTGTGCCTGTCAGCGAGGAATCGGCAGAACAAGAAAATACGGGCGTTAAACTGAAAGATCCCATTTTCTGAGGCGGTCTCTTCATCAACCACAATACGTTGCAGTCCTGCAATATGCTTCCAAACTCAGGTGACCTTTTGGAAACATAGATGGCCCTGGTAAATAGAGAGAAAAAAACATCTCAACCAGTGCCATCTATTTCTAACCAAACCGACCTAAAAGAAGGACACCTATGTTCCAAAGTCTCTTCTTGCAGCCTTACATCTAAATCCAAAAAACATATGTTCACGATGCCACGTCCGTGGGGTTGCGCGGCAGGCCGCAAGTTCCCTCAAGTTCGTTTGTGGGAGTCCCGAAATGGATTTGTCCAGCAACGGACGCAACACAAATTGAGGTTGAGGCGCAAATTCACATCTGAGAACAACTCCATATCAATCACATCTGCAGGTGGCATGTGTCACATGTTTTCTCCTGAAGCTAAGCAAAAGGTCGCATTCCGGTGCACCTTCGGAAGGCCAAACTGCTTGTTTCGGGATGCCATGGAAACTGGCCTCTGCCTTCGCAACCCCGAAGCATCAATTCGGGGCGCAGAACGCATGCTGCAGCGCCCGGCGAGATGTAATTCGATCCAGCGGATTGAATTGGAGCAGCTTTCCTGGGCCACAATGTGCTGTGTGGACGCACGGTATCCTGCTCTTTCAGGAACAAGCCTGGCTCAACACCCCAACAAAAAGGAGTCGTTTCTTCCAGTGCTGGAATCCTTCAATATTCTCAAATGTCGTTCGGAGTGGTTTCAGACCGTTCTTGGTGGGGCATTCCACAGATAAATTCATTTAGCGGCCAGCAAACGACCACGTGTGCCGAAAAACAACACAAATTCATCAAGGTATTGACTTTGAACAATCACGCACCCTAAAAAGCTTGGTATGTATGGTCACCCCCACCCCCATGATCTACCTTCACTTTACCTCCTTGAAACAATGCTAACACACCCCGCGTTGTTTCAAGGTTTGTTGTTTTCACATTGTGTTTGATGGTTGATTGACCCGAATCGGGCCAACCGAAGTACATGCAAATCCAACAAAAATGCAGGCAACCGCTGTGTTGTTCACGTGCTTGCTTGCATGAAGCTTTAAAAAACACTGTGTTTAACCCTTGTGAGTATGATGTTTGGTACTTGGCTACAAAACTACACAAAATGCAGAACCCACGCCAACAAACGAAAACTGCAAACTCGGGAAACATGTTGATTTTCCGCAAAAGTTGTGTTTTGCTTGGTTTTCTTAAGCTTTCCCCCTGTTTGTGTTTTCGCTGCATCTTCAAAAAACAAAAAGCTTGTGTTTTGTGCCTTGTGAGCTCCACAGGGTAAAGACACAAATAGTCGAGTTTTGTTTTTCAAGCGAAAGACAAAAAACAAGAAGAAAAAAAACACGGCCTGATAACAGCCACGAACCCGTACGCAGACCAGTTGCAAAAGCTACCGTTGTGTGTGTGTGTGTCCCTGCCTATCCGTTTACCTGATTTCTAACTATCCCCTTGCCTGCCTACGCTTCCATACATCTACGTGCGCACCTATCTGTCTACCCACCTATCTGTGTATACGCCGCCTATCTACGCATCTGCACATCCATCCGCCTACCTGTCAACTTATCGGCCTACCTGCCTGCCTATCTACGAACCTAATCTGTTCTAATCTGTTCTAATCAACCTAACCTAATCTGTCTATCTTTCGAACCTGACCTAATCTAACACAGCTCTCCAATACCATGCCCCCTTCCGCAAGCCCAAAGGCTGAGCAAGCAGTTGTCACAAAGCTCATTAGAAATCTCTGGCTGACAGACTGGGGCAGTACAACAAAGCCCGCCACGAACTCGAAAGTGAGCGGGGCAACCACCCCCCGATAGACAATTGATTCTTCCTCACGGGTGGGCAGCCAATAGGCTTAAGGGTCAGCCAAAGGCGAGTACGGCCAATAGCTTTGGGCTGAGACGGCGTCGCTTCCAGGACAGTCAGGTTCCATGTGGAGGGGGAGGGTACCAAAAGGACAAAAGGACCTGGTTCGACGATCTTGAAGATCCACAGCTGGCCTGTCTGTTTCCGGATCCCCTGCTAAGAGTGCATCACTTTTAGCGGGTTAGACGGAAACCCACCTTTCACCAACCTAAAACATCTAAAAAACCTAAGTTGAACCGGACATGTTCTTTCTGCTTCAAAGAACCACCAAGGGCTCCCCACCCGAAAAAAAACAACACGCCGCATGTCCGCTGCCTCGGTTCGAATTTCGAGTCCTTTATTCCTTTCGAGGCGCGAAGCAGCACGCCGCCCTGCGCGGCGTCCAGCTCCTCTTGTCGCTCCTTGGAGGCCCTGGGCAGCACATCGAGGCCTGTGCCTGGCCACTGCGGAAACCTCGGCTCGGGGTCCGGGCGGGTCAAAGGGCGAAAGGACGAGGGCGCGTGATAAGAACGGAGAGAGACCTCGTTGCCCTCGTTGGGTCGTGCAAGAAAAGGCATGAGAAGAAGACATGCTGGTAGGTTGGGAAGTAAGATGTGTGTCTAGGGTTCTCAGTGTCTCAACCCACGATTCTGCACGGCCATGGGAGGAGCTCGGATGCATCTACTGGCTTCGGCCGTTTCCGAGATTCTTCCAACGTCGGAAATGCAAAGACTACTGACAATGCGAAATCCACAGGGGTTCGCTCGAAACCAGTGTGCGAAATGCGCCACAAGATTGCCGGCTCGTCTGTCTTGAATTCCTTCCTGATTGTCCCAACTTGCCTCCATCACCATGAAGATCTCAGTGGAGGAAATCCCGCAAATGGGCGGGTTTCACGTGGTTTCCCTTTGAACCAACCCCGACAAACAAGATTGCTCCAACTCGAAAAGACTCCCAACATTTGTTGCAGCCATCGTTCCTCGGATTTTGTTAACCGGTTGTGATCGAAATTTCGAGGGGTCCCACCGTGTTCCTCCCAAGACCATCGAGCACCAGAAATGTTGACTGAACCTCTCAGTGCGTCAGTCCTCCCAACAAGTTGCCAAATTGGTCCAGAGTCGTGGGACGAGAGAATCCACTGCGTGGGACATGTACGGAAACTCCCTGTCCGTCCCACCTGTTCTGTCCTATTTGTTCTCTGAGAAACTGCGAGAGTTTCCCTTTCCCACATGCTTTGTTCTGCAAATGTCCGAACTCCATTTCGGGGGTCCAAATCCTGAAAAACGACGAGCCACCCCTCTCCCCTCCCCCAACCCCGCCCCCTGTGTTTGCTTTGCTTCGCATCACGCCATTGATCTTCCAAGGACTTTCTTCCTTTCGCACCACTCGTGTGAACCCGCATCAAAGAGAAAGAAGCCTTGCGGTGCGACAACCGCTGCATACCTACTTACCAGGGGCATCCAGTAGTCTCTACATTCGCTTTTGAGACATTTTTGGATCCTCTTGAAAAAAATCCACCAATCTCATACCCACAATTGGTTCCCCCTCCTTGGGGATCAAGCAGACTCAACTGTGGTAGCGGAACGGGTGTTTCAGAAAATCCCAGACAAGATGTCCTCAGATGGAGAAGCTTCATGGAGGCCTATTCCAGCGCAGGCCGAACAGTCAGCATCACTGAAGAGACCCTCAATTTATTGCCATGCCGCTCGAGCAAGATTACCTCTTGCAACGATTGGGTAATTCCACGTCCATCCATCCGAGCCTCGTGGGAGAAAGTTTCCAAAAAGGCATCCTGCCGCTGACAGCAGAGTACCAGTGCGATGCGATCAGCGGAGATGGTAACAAATCCGTGAAAGTTACAGCAAGTTTCAACAGGCCTATCGTCCAGACAACGGTCTTCTCTACCATGCCATCGCACTGACGTGGAATGACGTGGAATGACACACAAGCAGTGCCACGCACTGACCGACTTGATTGCACCATGGATACCTCTGCCAACACGCAGTCCATCAGACGGCATGCGCTGCGTACAAAGAATGGATCCGACTCTGACAGGACTTCTCCACATTGTATGGTGACGTTTGTCTTTGGCTGGGGAAGGACACAGGTCCAACAGTCACTCCGACAACGAGAATACGACCTGATGACATCCTACGATCTGACCAAGATCGAAGTCGACAACACCCAGTCATCGCCGACTATCAGGCTCGAGCCTCACCAACGCGATGCTCATGAATGGAACAAGTGATGCTGAAACGCGCCTCCCGCTGATGGTGTACATCCGAAGTCGATCCGAAAACACCCAGAAGACCAAAGATCACTACAACAAGAAGACACTTGGCAGCCTTCTACGGATGTCAGAACCAAGATCGTCAATCCTGGGTGGGCTATTCGCATGGGATAGCAGCTATCAGGAAAAGAAGTGGCGACGCTGAGAGTGCACATTAGCCTTCTCAGGCAGGCACGAAATCCAACTTCGACACCCAAAAACGGCCCCACGATATGCCCGACCAATCGATATCCTCACTGAGTCTTTTCCACGGATCTCATCGACGACAAGACTATTTTTATTACGAGATCAACCTCATCGTCTATAAGACTATTTTCATGTAGTGAGAGAATCGATAGTTGCACAGGACATCATGTCCTCCGATTTCAGCAAGCATCAGTCAAGAAAGATGCACATTTTGGACACGACTAGGTGTCTCTGTTGCTTCTCAATGAAACTTCCCAATCATGTGTGCGAATTCGATTTCAGCTTGCGTTGTCTATATTTTCCATGTGCCGGACGAACAGAATCCGATCACATCCAAAAGGTGACCTCAATGATTTGAATGTAAACTCCGCATGGATCTATTTGATGTTTAGACATGCATACTCAGTTCGGTGTGGACCAAGAGCAAAAGAAATTTGTGTCTGTGTTGCAATTGCTTTTGCTTGGCATTACCCCACAACCATTTCGGCTCAAGGTTCTGCTTTTCACACCACATGTGCTCCGCATCAGAGAGAAAGAGCCTTGCGGTACCCTCACAAGTACCAGAGACATCCAGTAGTCTCTACATTCATTGGGACATCATTGGATCTTCTTGAAATAGATCCAAGGACCTTAACGAGACCGCAACCACAACCTCCTTAGGGATCGAGCACCCTAGGTTTGGGACTCCCCCCCCTGGCCCCGGCGAAGCACTTTTCTCGGAGGTATGGGAGGTGCGGCCACGCCGTGGCCGGGGGCGTGCCCAGCACCTGAAAAATCCTCGGGGCGTGTTGAAGGACGCGGCGAAAATGTGTGGGGCCTTGTCTCTTTGCCCGAAATTCGGAGGGGCGTGGGGACGCCTTGGGAAGGGGGTGGGTGCCCTTTTGGGTGTGGCTCTCTGTTCACCCCCCCCCACAAAATGATGGTTCGCCTTTTGGTTTCCCCTTAAACCAACAAAAAAAACGGAAGCCTCCAAAAAGGACACACCTGCTTCGAGGAACCAATCCTCCCAAACGAAAAGGGGGAAGCCGTTGCGTCCCATTTTTTAGGGGGGTACCCGGTTTCAAGATGTGTAGATACCAACAAAACTTCTGCTTTCATTTCGTGGTGCGAGTTCGGATTGAGCAACAATCCACAAGGGACAGCATACTTAGGACACACCCAAATGGGGATGTCAAATAAATAAAAAAAGCTCGGACCACTCCGAAAACCAAACGAACGCAGCTCCAAAACCCAAACGTCGCCGAAAGAACCAGAAGAAAATTGGGCTTTGCAAAAGGAGCTATGGTGAGCTGCAACACCCGAACCAGAACACACATGGAACCCGCAAAACACCATGCCCAGGGGAATCTCCTGGCCTTCTTGCGCTTGTAAAGCTTAGAGCGGTGTCCTTTGACCTGTTCTTCTGCCTTTTACTCTCTTTTCCAGGTCCGAGAGCCGCGAGTCCATCTTGTTCACCCGTTGTTGCCTAGTTTTTTGGGAGTGGGGGAGGGTGTCCCTTCAAAGTCAATCAACCGAAACAGGTGCCCCCCGCGTTGTTTGTCTTTTTCCCATCTGAAAGCGTTGGCGTCACGCCCAAATAAGCGTTGGGGGCAGGCTTCGGAGCAGCTTGCAGGGTCTCCGGAGGGCTCCAGGAAAGTGAGGGGGGCTGTTGGGGATGCTGCCTTACGTTGCTTTCGGCGTTTCAGAAACACAGGCACCACGGCGGAAGCTGCAACTTTATGGCGCCAGCTCCATTTTCCAGCTTCAAAGCACAAAAACCAGTAGCGCCGGTTTTGCCCGCGCAGGCTTCCAATCGCAGATGCCAACTCACCCACGCAACATTGGCCGTTGGAAACCCGGGTATGGCTTCCCCAAAGCCAAGCCACAAAGGGCGAGTGTTGTCCTACCTATTCCTTGGGGTTTGGAGGGGTTTGGAGCCCCCTGGACAGGGCGTAGGGCACCACACCCAAGCGAGCTGCCATGTGGGCAAAGAAGGACACGATCCAGAAAACGACGTGTTTTTCATGGCACCTCTTTAAGGTTGTTAAGGGAAACCGAAGGAAAGCCACAATTCTTATTGGGGTGTTCCCCGAAAGGAAAGCCTCTGGAAATCCATGTTTGTTACGGGGGGGGGTGCCAAAAATTAGTTCTTCTTTTTGGTTTAAGAAGCACGCTCTTCTGGCCCCATTTTTTTTGCCCCCCCCCCCCCGGGGGCTTTTCGGCTTCTCCGAAAAAGCTTCCTCCGGGGAATCCAAGCTCCTCCGTGCCGCGCGTCGTACCGAAACACTGAAAAACCGAGGCCCCGGGCTTGAAGAGCGTCCCGATCTCCGAGTCCCCGGGGAAGAGCGCGGAGCTCGTGACCATCTCCGCCACCACGCAGCCCGCGGACCAGCAGTCCACCTCTCGAAGCCCAAAGCGACGAGCGAGGCTTCCCCCGGGCCCGGGCAGGTTTTTTGGGGGTTCCGCGTGTGGGGTTTGGTTTGGTTTGCTCAGTGGGGTTGGTGGTTGGCGCTGTGTTTGGCGGTGTGGTTTCTCCTAGGCCTCTGCAAAAGCCGGGTTTAATGCGAATCCAAGCAACGCTGGGCTGTCCGTGCCAAAAGCTCATAACTGTTGGGTGAAACAAATGCCTGGAAGCCCCCGGAGGGAAGATTCGGATTCACCAAGAACCCAAGGGGGGAAACAAAAAACTTTGGGCCCGTCTGGGCTCACCAAACAAGAACCCCCTCCCACACGCCGTGTCCTTTTGGAAAAAAAATATCGATGGTTTTCCTTGGTAAATGGATGGCACACTCATGTAAACCAGCGGAACCCACATATTGTTTAACCAAACCAACCGATCAAAAGGACACCCATGCCAAGACCCAAGATCACATCGGATTAACACCCCCGCCTCCTCCCGAGAAGGTCCAGAAGGTGTTTTGCCTAAAATATGATTTGATCTTTCATGTCTTTGATTTAGTACGGTTGGATTTGAGTCTGCATTTGATTTTTTATTGCTGGAGTGCCTTTTTGGAGATGAGTATCCAGTTGATTTTGTACTGTGGGATTTGACTTTCCATGTGATATAGTATTGTGGAGCTTCCAGTTGAATTTGATTCGAGCTTCCATGCATTTGACTATTGCTGGATTTGAGCTTCCATTTGACTTAGTCTTGCCTCAGAAGTGGGTGCGGCCCAGGCCCCGGCAGTGCTTAGTGCAAAGCTGGTAGCTTGGCAATCCAAAACACATGAACAACAAATGGCCATGGGTCATAATACCGTGCTTTCAGTGAACATCCGATTCAATCCAACCACTAAAATAGGTTCCAAAATGGGGGGTGAATTCACCCAATCCCCAAAATGGTACCATTGGTGTTGACCCACGGCCAAATGAAAAACAAGCAGGGTATAGCAGTATGAGCATGGACAAATGTGCAGCAGCAGCATCAGCGGGACTTGAACTTTTTATTTGGGCTGGGGCATCCTTAATTTGGGGGGGTTGCTGTGGGGCCCTGTCCTAACAACATGTCTTTTTGTGGAAAACAGCGGTCAAATTGACTCAAGCATCTTCAAGGAAGCTTGCCTCGCTAAAAAAGAATTGAAATCACGGAAGGCAAGGATGGACCTTGGGTTTGTCAGGGGTTACTGGGTTTCCCCTCAAATGTTGCAATTGACTGGCGGCTACGGGGCACCCTCACACACACACGCACACACATATAAACACACACGCACCCACGCACTCACGCACTCACGCACTCACGCACTCACGCACACACCCACACACCCACACACCCACACACCCACACACAAACACACAAACACACAAACACACAAACACACCACGCGATCATTTGATGCCATGCAAACCCTGCATTTGCTGCAGCCTCGTGCGGCAGACGACTTGTAAGCAGGGCTGTGGGAAATGACCACTTCAGTGACGACAAAAAGGTCCTCCAAAGACTACCCCGCCATTGAAAGAGGGGATTCCCTTGTATCACCAAGTGGGGATAAACCCCTTGATCCCACAACTCTGCTTGTAAGCGAACCTGCCTTTCACACCCTAAAGCAGACGCAACTGCACACAGCCGCAAAATGTCCACGCTGCTCAACGATGGACTACAGAGCTGCCTTTTAAAGGACCGTGACAACACACATTTGTCTCGTGATGTCCCCTTGGTCTCCCGTTGAAACAACCCAAATGCCATCCAAAAGGACATAAAGTGGCAGACACAAATGCCAGCTGAATCGCATGCGGCGCATGAACCGACCGAGAGAAAGACCCTCGCGCCCCAATCGTGTGTATAGGACAAGACATGCCAAACCCAGGGTCACTGAATGCCCCCAAAGAAAAGTGTAGTAGTGGCTCCAAACTGAAAACTGAAAGCTTGATCCTTTTGGGGGTGTCTTTTTTTTTAGGCGACCCACCAAACTGTTTGTATGTGTTTTTCTTGTGGTTCCCCTTTAAAACCAGCCAAAGGGGGTACCCACAAACAAGGAACCACAAGTTGAAGGTCAAACCAACGAGAGGCAGCGGGGTAATTGGGGTTTCCTGCAGCAACATAACTTTTTCCGTGTGTTCCAAGGACGCAAAAACCGCCTGGGGGCATCCTTTTGGAAACCTCGATTATGTTTTTCCTGGGAAACGTGGCATGATGCCTATCTAAACCGCCCGCGGGATTTGAGATTTGGGTGTCTCTCGTTTTGGGTGATCCCTTCAAACATTAATTCTGGTTGTCCTTTTGGCGTCCCTTAAAGCAACAAAAGAAACGCTTACCCCCCAAAAAGAAGTGCATTCCAAAGCTGGCAGCTTTCTTTGCTTTAACATTTCAAACAAACCATAAAAAGAGTACCCCAAAAAACAAGGAAAGGCGGATCTAATTGGGATCTGGGATTTCCCGCCTCGTAGCCGTAGTTCGCCGCACCCAGCAGCAGCTCTGGGCATCTGACGATGTTTCAAGCGAATGCCCGCTGCCGATCGGCAGATGGGTGCGTCTTTTTGGACAGGGCTGTGGGAAATGGCCACTTCTGTACAACGAAAACGGCTTCCCGAAGACTAGCCCCCCATATAAAGGGGGAGATTCGTTTGTATGACAGAAGTGGGGATACAGCCCTTGATCCCACAACCCTATGTTTGGTGGTATCCGTTGTTGGGTGGCGGTCAATGGGAACAACAGAACAACCACCAATGCTTGAGGGCCCCTTAAAAAAGACACACCCAAATAGCGAGCCAATCAACCAAAACCTTCTTCAACCAAGCAACACCAAGCAACAACATCTAAATTGGTGGGTATGAGTTTGTTGGAAACCCAAGGGGGAGTTGAGTCCACCACTATGAAGGTGGCTCCTTATTAAATTCACACCCAAATGTCACAACCTCATTCAACCAATCAAGAAACAATAGTCAAAAAGTATAAATAGTGTCTTGTTTAAACGTCAAGCAAGTTAAACCATGCGGGGCAAAGAGACCCAAATAATTAGAATGAGGTTGTACCGCATGATCATGCGAGATTATACTTGTGATTATGCCAAAAGATCCAACCCCTTGCCGAGCCCCCTCTGTTTCCCCGAAAATAAGACCCTATTGCCTGCAGGCGTTCAACGACGCTCAAAGGAGACTCACCCCAAAGATTTGGTCCATGGGGACAAGGGGACTCACCCCAGTGTCTCTATCCCCAAAGTGGAAGGCTTCCTTTCGGTTTCTCTTTCCAAACCAGGTACTCCACAAAGGACAACCCTCCGTGGTCCGTCACACCCGCAGGAAGCCCCAAAATGGGTGGGTTTCCTCTTGCTCTCCTTTGAAACGAGCCCAACAAAAGGCCACCAACTCAAAAAACGGATGAAAAGGAGGAGTCCCAGCACCAACAAAAAAAACCGTCCCCCTGCGAAGCATCTGGCTTTCCCGTTTGCTTCTCGTTTCTTTCTCCTTTTCTCGGCCTGTACCAGAGCGTCACGACCTCCAGGGTGTACTGCCTCTGGGGCGAGGCCAGCAGCCGCGCCAGGCCGAAGTCCGCGATCTTCAAAGTGCCGTCCGGGACCACCAAGATGTTCTGGGGCTTGAGGTCCCGATGAATCACCTGCCTGGAGTCAGCTGGCGCCCGATGGGTGATGGGGATGAATCACCTGCCTCCAGTCAGACTTTTTTCAGCATTGCAGCACCATCGAGTGGCGCCCCATGGGTGGCGCCCGGTTCTTTCCTTTCTTTCTTTCCTTTCTTTCTTTCTTTCTTTCTTTCTTTCGTTTTGCTTTTTGGAAGCCTTGGGTTGCTGGTCTACAAGGGAAACCAAAAGGAAACCGTTGAACCATGTTTAGAAAAGACGCAGTGGTAGGTTCAAACGCTGATTCTACAGATCCAAATATGAACCCATGGCCATTTGGGACCCTTTGGGGCTGATTTCCCATAATTCAGTCTTTGATAGGTTGGATTATGGATTGAGGGAGACCATGCACATGAAACTGAGGGCGTGATCGTTTTCCTCCCGTTGTCCGGGCGGAACTCCATGGAAACGTCTGAACTCGTAGGAACTTGGATTGCCAAACCCTCTCAGATCCCACAAGCGGCTTTTGGATAATTCCCATGCGGCTTTGGCTGGAAACACAAGCAAAAGCAACATCTGCTTGCAGAAAAGCTCTTTTGCAACACTGAGGGCATCGACCACATCCTCCAGGTGCAGGCTTTGTCCCCTGAAAAAAACAAAAAACAGTTGTGCCCAGTGAAACCGATTCCCTTTTCACCCCACAAGGAAACTTCAAAAAGCAACTATATTTCATCAAATGGAAGCTGTCCTCACTTCCCGACCACAAAACTAACCAAACGTTTGTTGACCGCAAAAAATTGGTCCACACCCACAAAGCGTCAAATCGGGAAGTACCTCACGGCTCTTCACCACTGTAGACAAAGCAAGGACACAACTGCGACTTTAAGTGAACAGGAAAACGACACAGTAAGATATAAACCTGCAAAAAGTGCAAAACCTCCGTCAGAATCGGACAAGTAATGAACCTCCATCATAGCTCGTTTTACCTCCTCGCCGTAAAATAGCGAAATGAGCACGGGAAGCCAAAGGAAAACTCCGCCATGGGTGGGGTTGACATGCCTGACCCGATTCTTGCGAGTCGGGGGGCCGAGAGTGGCAAGCGAAGAGCCCGCTCATCAAGTCCTCGGATAGGGTAGCAAGGGGCCGGCTGGCGGCTGGCGAGTACCGGCTGGCGCCGTTTCAAGGGTGAGGGACCGGGATAGTTTGGAAATCGTCCAGTGACATCCTCAACAAAACAGGCCAACTCGAAATGTGTGTGCGTGTGTGGTTTGAAGCGGTTGGGGACTAAGCTCGGGCTATAGGGAAGCAATGCTGGAGGGTTCCTTGGTACCCTACAAAATGCCATTTCTCGCAGGACGGAGGGCGGATCCCGGTGCTATGTTGGTAGGATGCCAGACCTGCAATTTTATCCCCCTACTCCCCTCCCCACCCCTCGCTTCTCATACCATTCTCCCCTTCCTTTCCCAACTGTTGTGGGCTGTTGTGACAATGAAGCAGAGGTCAAAATGCGCGATTCCCATAAAGGTCAGAAAAAATACCATCCAGGCTTCTTCCAAAAGTGCGCGATTCCCATGTACATTACATTACATTACATTACATTACATTACATTACATTACATTACATTACATTACATTACATTACATTACATTACATACATACATACATACATACATACATACATACATACATACATACATACATACATACATACATTACATTACATTACATTACATTACATTACATTACATTACATTACATTACATTACATTACATTACATTACATTACATTACATTACATTACATTACATTACATTACATTACATTACATTACATTACATTACATTACATTACATTACATTACATTACATTACATTACATTACATTACATTACATTACATTACATTACATTACATTACATTACATTACATTACATTACATTACATTACATTACATTACATACATACATACATACATTACATACATACATACATACATACATTACATACATACATACATACATACATATATTACATACATACATACATACATACATACATACATACATACATACATACATACATACATACATACATACATACATACATACATACATACATACATACATACATACATACATACATACATACATACATACATACATACATACATACATACATACATACATACATACATACATACATACATACATACATTACATACATACATACATACATACATACATACATACATACATACATACATACATACATACATACATTACATACATACATACATACATACATACATACATACATACATACATACATACATACATACATACATACATACATACATACATACATACATACATACATACATACATAAACATACATACATACATACATACATACATACATACATACATACATACATACATACATACATACATACATACATACATACATACATACATACATACATACATACATACATACATACATACATACATACATACATACATACATACATACATACATACATACATACATACATACATACATACATACATACATACATACATACATACATACATACATACATACATACATACATACATACATACATACATA